TTCCGCCTAGCCCAAACTCTTGATTGTCTATCAAACCTATGTGATTGTACAAGCTGCCTTCTTTGTTCTCAACAGCTCCCAGTAGTTGAGGGTATGCCAGGACCTGTTTTGATGTGGGTATTTTCTCATTCACCCCACGTGTAGGAGTTGCTCAGCTAGTTTCTGGATTGTTTCCAGTGGGAATTGCTCCATGTATAGCTGTATATTTCAATGTATCCATGAGACAAGGTGAGTTCAGGAGCCTCCTATGCTGCCATCCTGGACCAGAACTTTAGAACTGACTACATAATAGTATACTGATCCCATAATTATAAAATACATACACTTGAAAACACCAATGCATTTATTTATTTATTTATTTATTTTAAACATCTTTATTGGAGTATAATTGCTTTACAATGGTGTGTTAGTTTCTGCTTTATAACAAAGTGAATCAGTTATACATATATATATGTTCCCATATCTCTTCCCTCTTGCGTCTCCCTCCCTCCCACCCTCCCTATCCCACCCCTCTAGGTGGTCACAAACCACCGAGCTGATCTCCCTGTGCTATGCGGCTGCTTCCCATTAGCTATCTATTTTACGTTTGGTAAACGTAAAAGCACTCTCTCACTTTGTCACAGCTTATCCTTCCCCCTCCCCATCTCCTCAAGTCCATTCTCTAGTAGGTCTATGTCTTTATTCCCGTCTTGCCCCTAGTAGGTAAGTCAGAAAGAGAAAAACAAATACCGTATGCTAACACATATATATGGATTCTAAGGAAAAAAAAAGGTCAATGCATTTAAATCCTAAGGTTCATCCTAAGGTTATCAAGATACAGTAATACATTTTCTTAGTGATTTTGTTACTTTTATGATAGAACTTCTCTTTTTTATAAATATTTCCTATATATTTTAATGGATTTCAGAAATTCAGATTTCCCTACGAGACTTCCTTAACCACATTTATGCTTATATGGTGTGAAGTTACTCTAACTTTTTGTGATCTCTTTTCCTAAAGCTCCTATGTTCATTATAGTAACTGTTGGCCTCTCTACTCTGCCATACTGTGAACTCAAGAGCAAGACCAGTGCATTTTCATGGCATCTAACTGAGGAAGCATTTTAGCAATGTTTCTAGATGGACTAGAAGCAGAGAAGAAAATAAGTTTATGTTGATAAAAATTTGTAAAAGTTGAAAACAATGATAATATAAATACCAGTTATCAAGGACCATTTAGATTTAAGCATTTCAGTTAAAAATTAATGTTGCTTCTTGAGTTTATCAACTCTTTTATTGGCATTCTGCTTTTTAGATTTGAGCTGAGGTGTTTTATCTTTATAGAAGTGTCTTTATTTGTTTTATCTGCATTCAATACATAAAATATCAAAGTTTCCATGGTGGTGCAGTGGTTGAGAGTCCGCCTGCCAATGCAGGGGACGCGGGTTCGTGCCCCGGTCCAGGAGGATCCCACGTGCCGCGGAGGCTAGGCCTGTGAGCCATGGCCGCTGAGCCTGTGCGTCTGGAGCCTGTGCTCCACAATGGGAGAGGCCACAACAGTGTGAGGCCCATGTACCTCAAAAAAAAAAAAAAAAAGTACAACTATATAAGCGTTAAATCAAAACATCCAGATTTAAATTCTTAGAAATTGTGTAAATTAAATTTGTACTTGTGACATCCAAAGTAGGATACAAGCAACTATTGTAAAATAAACAAAAAATGTTACCTTTCCTGGGTTGTTATTTTCTACCTTGCTTTTTCTTTCACAGATTTTTAATATTTCTATGGTACTTTATACGTGAAAAACAGTGGGAGCCACCATAGCAACATCAACAAGAGGAAAAGTAATTGTTGAAAATTTACTATATGCCTGAGTAGTTTCTATATACAGTTGACCCTTGAAAACAACAAGAGTTTGAACTGCATAGGTCCACTTATATGCAGATTTTTTCAATAGTAAATACTGCAGTACTACCCAATCCATGGTTGGTTGAATCCAGGGTTATGGAACCGAGTATACAGACGAACCTTGTCTACGGAAGACTGCTATAAGTTATATGAGGATTTTCGTCTGCACAGAGGGTCAGCACCCCTAATCCCCATGTTGTTCAATGGTCAACTGTATATCAAATATCATTTCTCATAGTATTTTCATGGCTATATATTACTCCCATTTTACCAAAGACACTGAAGCTTATAAAGTATATTTAGAAAGTTTTGAATTCACTAGCATGAAACTGTATCTTACAAAATTAAATAATTATTGTGTCATGCTACTTTATTAAGATAGGTATGATTGTAATTTCCTATCACACATCCTATACTACAGGGTTTTAGAACGTACTCGGTCACTAAAAATCAAATGACATGAAGGACCCAGCTACTTAATCCTCAAGACAATGTCATCTACAGAATGAAACTATAATCAAATTTTTAAAAATAGTCACATGTTAATAGATTTTGAAGTTCTACTTTTTAGCTATACCTTTACAAGGTATAACAATTCTCTTTGTAGAGTCTAAGCATATGGCTGCACCATATATTATATAGTGCTGAAATTATTTTTATGAGCTACATTTATATTCTAATTTTTAAGCTTAAAAAGAAATAAGTGGGACTTCCCTGGTGGCGCAGTGGTTAAGACTCTGCGCTCCCAATGCAGGGGGCCAGGGTTCGAGCCCTGCTCAGAGAACTAGATCCCACGTGAATACCGCAACTAAGAGTTCGCATGCCACAACTAAGGAGCTGGTGAGCTGCAACTAAGGAGCCCACTAGCTGCAACAAAGGAGCTGGCAAGCCACAACTAAGGAGCTCTTGAGCTGCAACTAAGAAGCCCACCTGCTGCAACTAAGGAGCCCATGTGCCACAACTAAGGAGCTGGCAAGTCACAACTAAGGAGCCCGCCTGCCGCAACTAAGACCTGGCAAAACCAAATAAATAAAATAAGTAAAATTTAAAAATTAAAAAAAGAAAGAAGTAAGACCCATGCCACAAGCACTCTATATACTCCACTGTAGTCTAGCATAAATTATGATAGATTTTGATATAAGGCAAGGTCTTGAAACTATGGCTTTACACTAAGGAAATCTCATGAATCATTTTTTGGGATCTCAGACTGACCATGTCTTAAAATTGATATGGTTATACTGACTACTTAGAAATTCAGTATCTGTGTGGGTTTTATGAAATCTTTAATAAGTGATGAACTACAACTTGTGAGTGATTCAACCATGGAAAGTGAAACCAAACCTTAGATTAAGAATCTAGTTTTATTTTTTTGGATAAATTCCATGGAATAACCCTTTAAATATGACCAGCTATTTTTAAGTCCTCATTTTGTAATTTCTAAAATGTCTTAGTACACTAAAAAAAGAAAAAAACTAGGCTAACCTAATTGAATGAAGAGTGGCTAATAACTTTTCTTCATCTTCTACCCTTTATTAGTATCTATCTGATGTCTTACTGTAGAATCAGTCCTGGTGAATCTTTAAAGGCTAATGTCTAAGAAATCAACTGTCTCTATCCAGGCTTAGTTGAGACTAAAAATCATATAGTAGATGATAGTCTTCATTCATCCAGTTATGTTCAGCTTGTATCATCAATTAATCTCTACAAAGAACAGTAACAGTGAACCAAGAAACTTGTGACAGAAAAGGTCCACAAGTGGGGCCAGAGAGAGCTAGTATCTTACTTAACTCTGACCCTTGACAACCCCTTGTAGAAGAACAGTTAATTTGTTTCGTTTTTGTTTTTGTTTTGAGGCTAAATCATTTTTCAGAACACTTGCTCTATTGTAAAAGTAGGTCTGGGGGGTAAGGATGGAGGTGGGGGTACTAGGGAAAGAGAGGGAGAAAAGAGGGGAAAAACAATGATGGAAAGATGGAAGGGAAGGGGGGGAAGAAAAGGAAAGACGAAATTCATTTGGAAGTATCACATCACCTAGAAATAAGAAACAGTATTTTTCCAAAATATATCGCTACTAGATCAATGAAGAAGGGTTCCATAATTCCGCTACTACTTGTTGAATGTTTGGACTGCGTCGATGCTGACTCCAGGGATGGTTTCTGAAGAGTTAAGTAGGAAGGGAACAGGATTTGGAAGAGAGCTGGCTTTTAATTTTGGAGATTTTGAAAGAGTTGAAAATGGCACTTCAATCACTGAATGGAATGAAGTTTATTTTAAAGAGATAATTGTGTCTTCAGTAAAGGAGAATTCTGCTTTCTTTTAGTGCTTTCATTTTAAAATCTTGACACTTGTAACAAAAATATATCTGGTGCTGTAAACACTAGCTAATTTTTAGATTATTTTTTTAAAAAGATAAAATATCAACAGTTTATTTCTGTCTCAGTTAGATTTCTCACAATAATCATTCTCCATCTTTCTTTCATGTGGCTAATTACAGAAAAATCTGTTCTGTGGAATAAGGAACAGTTTACTCAGTTGCTCATCAATCAAGAATGCTTTTATTGTCCCTGTACTAAGTGCCATATTAATGCACAAACAGTATTAGTTTATGAGTTAATGCTGAAATGTGAATAATAATTCATAAGTCATGATCGTGTTTTCACTTTATCAGTTGCAGTCATTTATATGTTTAGATTGTGTCTTCTCAATTTATGATAGCCGTTAGTATCTTTTTGTAAGTTAAATGCTCCTTGATTTCATAAATGAATTATATGCTGTGGAATTTCTTATACTGGGAACATCCTCATATAAAATTTTTACAAAATATCTGATCAAAATGGACAGAGCCTTATTATATTACTGAATATGGCTAAAATAAAAATTATTTGTTAATATCAGATTAATCATTATAGATCCGACCAAGATCTCAGAAAGTTCTCTTTCCTATCAACTATTATTGAAATCAGAATATTGTTCTTTTGATATTGGTATCCAGTTCCAATATTCATATTGTAGTTAACTTCTAGATACCAGAACCCATTTTTTGTGCACCTTATAACTTGTGATAACTGTTGTTTCTTAACTTATTGCTAATAATTTGCTAATTTTTCAATACAGGTAATGGATTAGGAATTAGAATTGTGGGTGGTAAAGAAATCCCTGGACATAGCGGAGAAATTGGAGCTTATATCGCCAACATTCTTCCTGGGGGAAGTGCAGAACAGACAGGGAAACTTGTAGAAGGTAAGAATAAGGATTTCAGAGTAAATTAAAATGAATGTGCTCATATTAAATATATCTTAATTTGATATGAAAGTTTTTGCTTCTTTTACTGTCTAGGTAAAACTCTCCTTTTGGTTAATTATGATATTTTGGTAGAGTAATATAAAGGAAGGTATGTCCACAGCTATATTCATTTTATTTTCAGTTGCATTGTCCTTTTTGGCAGTTGGAGTGCTATGGGAATATCTTGTTTAAGAAACAGTAATTAGTCAAGATTTTTTACTGACTGGGGCAACATTATATTTTTAAAAAACACATTGATTAAAAGGATTAGTGTTTCATAAACACCAGGAAAAATTATATTGAAATCAGAGCCATAAAAACATCACATGATTCAGTACATGGTAAAGTCAGGTCAGCAAACTATGGATGACCCACAAGCCAAATCCATCTGCTGCCTGTTTCTGTAAACATTGTTTCATTAGAACACAGCCAGGATTATTAATTTACATATTGAACACGGGTGTTTTCCCACTACAATAGCAGAACTGCATTCACAACAGAGACTGTATGGTCTACAAAGCCTAAAATATATATATTCTCTCTGACCCTTTCAAGAAAAAAAATTGCCAACTCCTGTGCTAGGTACTATTCTATTCACCTCATTACATCATAAAGTATTTTAAAGTAATGAACTTTACAGATGTGTCTTATGGGCCATAAAATGATGTTTCTTCCAGTAAAAGGTTACAGCTTGATTCTCAAGATACACAATAATTTTCAGTCATTAATTAGACGATGTGATCATTTTCATTTTCCAAAACCTAACATAGATATAGTTTACAAGTTTTCAGTTAGATTGCTTACCACGAATATATTTATCATAAAGCAGCCTCAGTCTATCCTTCTATTTTTATCCTAAATTAAATGTTATTTAGAAAGCATTTTTCTGTCGTTTCATCGTTTAATAAAATGTTGCCTGTTATTGTTTGAAACTGAATTATGTTAAGATTATTCCCTGTCATTGTCTTAAATTAAATATATTGGACCCTACTGAAAAAAATCCCTAGATATTTTGATAGACAATTCGAATAAACACAAATTTGAGGCAGTATTTATTCATCACAGTGTTCTGCTGGAAGCAGCTTGCCCAACTCACTAAGAGATGTTTTGAATATCTCTTCCCAACTTCACACTCAGTACCATCACATTGTTAGCTTGAATTGGCCATGGTGACAGTATTTACAACATGAAAATAGGCAAATGCTATGAATCAGGCCTTTTTTGTCCATTTATTTGCCTGTTGATTTTCAGAATGCCAGTTTACCAGGACATCACCACATATATAACTGAAAGCATATTATTGAAAATATTCTAATGGTATTCATACAACAAGGAAAATTGGAGGTTTAGCCACATAGCTAAATGAAGGAAAAGACTATATGAATCAAGAAATAACCATTATGAGCAAACACTGGGTCTCTGTGAATTTTCTATGACTATAATCCTATCATGCCTAATGCTACTCTGTTGGTATTGCAGTCTAGTTAAGATACAGGAATTGAGGCCTGTTTGTAAGGATGGGAGTGATATGATTGCTTTCTAATAGCATACTTCAGAAAGAAATGAATATGCTATTTTTATTTTAAGATAAAATTTGCAACAGTAACTTTGCCTGATATAGTTGACAAAGATACTCGAATAATTTAAAGATAAAATTTCATACCCTTCTTTGCCCTTACACCATGAAAATCAGCAAATGCTACAAATCAGGATGATTTTTATGTACAATTTCAGTGAAGCACTCTGTGATGAAGTGATGCTCTTTGCATTTGGCAACTTATATGACCATTTTTAAGTTCATGCACCTAAATTAATAATAGATATAATACAAACCCATTCAAGAAAGGAAACTGAAATGAACCTAAAATTACATCTGTGATTTTATAAACTCAGAGACTGCCATTAAAGTCATCATCATTTTTGGAAATAATAGTTTTGCAGTTTGTTTCATTGGGTAAAGTGGGAAATCATTAAAAGCTGTGTGCATGTGACTTAAGATTTTACTTTTATTAATTGTATTATTTATTAATTCTCCCAAAGCTTTGCCAAGTGCTAAGCCAGGCCTCCCTATGACTATAGATCCTCTGATTATTAGAGTCCAGTTGTTACATAACTCACACATATAATTTGTTATTTATGATTTCCAGATTTACTTTATTTTCTCTTAAAACATAAATCTTTATTACAACTCTTGGTAGTATTTCTGTTAGACTCACGATGCTATCTTGACTGTCAATATCTAGATCCTGTTTTTGCCAGTACAACCCAGAATCTACAGTTGTCTACTGGGTTCTTCACCAGTCCAGAATCTCCCAGTCTTTGTGTTGGCTGTCTGGTGGAGAGAGGGTGAAGGGCAGAAAACAGATGAGTTTTAAATTAGAAATTAAAATCTAAACTCAAAATAGCAAGTCCTACATGGAAATGTTTGCTGCCTGACACGTCTCTTTCTGATTCATTTGCACTTAAATGGTGAGTGAGTTTTGCTCTCAATCTTGGAAAATTTTACTGAAGCAGCTCAGTGGTTGCATTTCCCCGTTACACGGTAAACACAGGAAGTCAGGGTTTGATGTTTGCTAATTCGTTGAAAGTGGATGTGATTTTCCTTAGTCTGGGCCTCCTCCACAATCAGGAAAACTGCCTTAAAAGATTTGCCTTGGGGGCTTCCCTGGTGGCGCAGTGGTTGAGAGTCCGCCTGCCGATGCAGGGGACGCGGGTTCGTGCCCCGGTCCGGGAAGATCCCACATAACGCGGAGCGGCTGGGCCCGTGAGCCATGGCCGCTGAGCCTGCGCGTCCGAAGCCTGTGCTCCACAACGGGAGAGGCCACAGCAGTGAGAGGCCCGCGTACCGCAAAACAAAAACAAAAACAAAAACATTTGCCTTATAAGATTTCTCATCTATTGGGTTGTGCAACTCCACATCACACATCTTCTGTTCTGCCTTCCCCGACGGAAGTGGGGCAGAGGGAGCGTCTCAGCATTCACGGTTTGATGTATGCAGTTTAACAGTTAATTGGGCACTGACCTGTAATTTTCATTACAAGTGTTTGAGTGTACAAAAAAGCTGTAGAGAATAATATGGCAAACAACCATGTACTCACCATATTGTTTTAAGTCTTAACATTTTGCCTATTTGTTTCATATTTTTAGGAGAGATAAGTACCTATAAACCAATTAAAGCCTCCTTTAATTGTAGTTACCTCTCCTCTCCCAAACCTCTCTTACTCGCCCAAAATAAACCACTAGACTTAATTTGAGATTACCCTTCACTTGCTTTTCTTTATAGTTTTATGTATGTATTCATAAATTTTATAAGGATTCATTTTGCTTGTTTATGAAATTTTATATAAATGATAGTTTACTGTACATGTATTTTTGCCACTTTTTTTAGTTCCAGAGTTTATGAGTTTTATCTAAAATGGTTTATCTAAAATAGCTATGTGTACACACATGTCGTTCTAGTTATTTATTTTCACTTCAGGACAGAATTCTATTACTGTATGTCTCTACTACAGTTTAATTTAAACATTCTCTGGTTATTTCGGTTATATATGAGTTTTTTTTTTACTATTTCCAACAATGCTGTAATTAATTTTTTGAATTAGTCTCCTTTTGCACATGTACAGAAGTTTCTTCTATAATAAAAGTACAAAAAAATTTAGAAGAAGTTCAATTCCTGGGTTATAGTGACTATCTTATTAAATAATATAGGAGAACGTTGTGTGGTTTCTTCAACAGTAGTTGATTTTTCCAAGTTGCTCTCCAAAGTGTTACGCTATTTTTACATTCATCCGTAGTAAATTAGTGTTCTTATACCTTTATATCCTTGTTCCTCTTTCTCAACATTTTCTTTTTCAAATATAATGTGAAATGATAGGCCATTGTCTTCTTCGTTCACCTTACCTTCAGTCATGTTGAGTATGATAATATGTTACTAATCTTGTTAGCACTTGGGTTTTCCTCATCTGTGATTTGCTTTTTCTTTTGCTTATTCTTTATTTGGATTGTTTATGTCTTTTAAATTGAATTTTAGAGAATCTTTATGTATTCTGGTTATAATCGTTTGTCAAGTATGTAGGCTGTAAATATCTTTTCCAAGTATGTAGGCTGTAAATATCTCTTCCCAGTATGTGGCTTGTTTTTTTAGTGTCTTTTTTTTTTTAAAGTTGAAATTTTAACATAGTTGGCTTGTTTTGTTTCTATTAAGTTTTATAAATGTTCTATATTATTTAGGAAATTCTCCTTGCCCTGAAGTCTTCAAATATTAGCCTATATTTCCTTCTAAAAATTGTGAAATCGTACTCTTTATATAATGTCCTTATAGACACAGAATTAAGTTATTTTTAGTATATCGTGCTCTGACTGGAAATTTTAGTTTTCTCCCCCATCAGTATGGATAATCAGTTGCCTGTGCACCATTTATTGAAGAGTGTATCGTTGCGCCCACTGATCTTCAGTGCCCCATCCGTCATACATTGATTTTTTTGTACATGTGTGGGTCTTTTATGAGATGTTTGTTCTAGCTTGTCTGTTTGTCTATCCCTACATCAGCGTCACACTGTTGTAATTATGATGACTTTAAGTCCTGACATATGGTAGGTAATCTACCATACTGTTGTTATTCAAAATCCTCTTGGGACAATTCCTGACCTTTGGTCTTGCATATACATTCTAGAACCGGCTTGTCAGTTTTCAGGAAAATCTCTGTTGAAAACTGGTAGTGATTATATTGAAGGTATAGGTTAATTTAGAAAAAAAAAATTTTTATTTTGAGTCTTCCATGGGTTCACAATGCTGGACCTTTGTTCTTCTTAGAGATTTAATCATTGTATTTTGAATCAATACAATAAAATACATTAGGACATTTAAAAAAATTAACACATAGCAATTGTTAGACTTATTAACAAGTTGTATCATTTTATATCAACTTACAACAATTTTATATCTGCAGAAAAGGAAGA